TATGTACCACACATGTGGCCTGCTTTTCTTACACACCCGGTTACCTTTTAGGGTTTGTAGATGTCAGGTATATGCGATATCCTAAAGCTTTTTGGATAGGTTTCTGAAATGAATTCAGGGCATACCTTTGAGCCGCGATTGCCTGCACGCAGCTTACAACATGAAGGGTTTCGCTGGTTAGCGGCTGGCGCGCTCACATTGCTGTCAGCGTTAACCCGAGGACAGACGGTGGGCCAGGAGGACCTTATCGGCGGAAACCAAACTACCAGAAATAGACTTGCCTGGTAGTTTCATGCGCTTTGAGCCCCATTGTTTCAGTGCTTTTACTGCACACTCCGTAAATGGAGAAAATATGTCAACAATTGACATTATTAATTGATCAGATTTAATTATTTCTTACTCTCTGGTGTTATTAGCTGTGCATACAACCGGTGTATTAATCAGTAATCTGAATAGATTGAACTACCTAACAGTATATCAAATCAGCACAACCGTGAACAGCGGTAAAAAGCGTAAAACGTAATTTGCACAACAAATGAAATGCACAATGTGTACTTTTACTTTTCACACTTACGCTACATTTAGCTGATATTATGTATCATACACAGTTTTTTGCTCAAGGTAGAGGAAGCAAGACTGACTTGGATGGAAGACTGAGGGATAGTCAGGAATGAGGTGAGTCTGCCAAAGAGAGCTGCACGAACGAACCGTTTAAAGCAGAAGGCATTTAGCCAAAGGGAATCCGTGGACTGACTGCAGACTGTTTTGCATCTTAACTCCATTTTCGGTATTTTTGATGTGGCCCAACTGCCGTCTTTTTTTTGTCAAAGACAACAAAATGTTCCCACTGCAATGTGATGCAGGTTTAACAACAGATTCTTGCACTATCTTGTCCTTCAGCAAGCCATAACACACCTCATGTGCTCCGGGGTTGGGCTTTGCCGCTGCGTAGAATGAGAGCTGACAGCAATAGAAATGGATAATTTCATTGACTGACAGGTAGGCATGTCGGTGAGCTGCAAATGCCTCAGAACAATGAAACTTTATCCTTGCAAGTGATATTCTGAGCTGCACCTTTTCAAAACACAGAAGTATGGTTTCCTCCTCCCGGGCTTGTTGCAAACAAGTAATGATAGTTTCATTCTCCGAGGTCTTTGAAACGATTAAGCCTTGTTATCACCTTTCCGTTTGATGTTTTAGTCCTGACACACAGGCTGCTCTTTTTTTCTTCGAGCGACATCTTGCACAACGTTAAGCACGGACACATGCTGCACATCTTAGGTGCCTTCAGTTGTCATTTTAGCATAGCAGATCATGCCGATCATTTTCCACTTTTTCATGCTCATGGCATACACCATAAATAAATCACGTCCAGTTAGTTAAACTATGCACTGAGCTTTTTTCAAATTTCAATGCCAGATGAAAGTTCAGAAACATTGACGATCACAATAATAATCATTTTATATCTTAATAATATAAACATTTACAAAAATAGTTATGTAACACACTTTGATTACATTAAAACAGTAGAATAAGTGTAAGCTCAATTTGATGTCCGTAAATAGGTATGTACATTTTAATACAGGGTTTGCCATTGCTGTTTTAAAATAGAGTATCTTAAGATTGGCATCTATGCATAAATTAATTTTTTAGGAGTTTTTCAGTAGTTATTTCATTATTATTATTTTCTATGAAATCAAGAGGAGTCTATCGGTTACATATTAGACCACAACTGCACGTCTTATGGAGTTCAAGCCCTCTAGTTTCCTTCCTAAAGTGATCCTTGTTTCGAACCGGCAGCCTAATAAAAAGAGGATCAATTAAACCGGAATATACTCGCTGCTGCTTTCACTCAGTGGCGGTCAAAGGAATTATTGACCTGGTTGCCAAACAGCTACTGAAAAAAGGAATTGTTTTTGTAGTAATATTATTTGGACACTAGAGTGCGCTGCTACTTTGTATAAGAGCAAGCTGCCATGACAATGAACGGAATTCACATTGATTTAAGGCAACAGAAAAAGCACCCTGAAATAGAAAATCCTTACTCTTTTTGGGATTGTCAGCTGCAAGATTCTTTTTCATGATCATGTCGCAGAAAAACTGATGGATTGGCTTTTCTCCCCCCGTGGAAGAGCATCTGATTGCTGATTTTGGAGAATGTTTCTTTACCACAGCACAACCAACGGATCCTTTAGTGCATTTGTATCCTGGGCTGATTGTTTAAAGAAAACCAATTTAGTGATCCCAGAATCTTACTGGGACCAATTAAAATATTTTTGGAACGATCAAATTATATCGGCCATATTTCAAAAATCCAAATAGTTTCTTTCATGACCACATGAATGCATTTGCAAGGTGGCTTTTAACTGTCACCCAGCAGCTATATCATAAACACAGCCTTTCTTGTTGGCCTATGTTGACTAGACTAATGTTGCTCTAAACTAACTGCACTCTTTCATTAATGAAATAAACAGCACTGTAATTACCATCAAACATTGCTTGGATTTACTTGTTTACTGTTATTTTTCTCAATGCAGTCCAAGTCAGCTGTTACAAAACTGTTCCGTTGTTATGCCAGTTTATAACAGATTAGAGAACCTCAAGACATTCCAGACTTTTAAATCTTTGTCTTTTAAATCTTAGAAATGGAATTGATTCATTGTTTAAACACAATCTAGAGTCAGTTACATGACTAAAATGTGGTCATCTTAAGGCTAAACTATCTAATATTTCTAGCTACAACCCGTTGAAGTCAACATCTAAATCAGAGAGCTACGAACATCTCACTTTCCGACAGATACGTACACCCAAATGTAATTTATGATCCACTCAGCAACATCTCAAATCATCAGAAATCATGTAGAAACACATTCTTGGAATGCAGCTTGATAGATTGTCACGTCTGCTTTCTGCAGGCCTTCTTCAACTGCCACCACGACAGAGATGGAGTTAATAACACAGTCAGGGTTATTAATTGGTTGTGTGAAGTCTGTTTAATTTTACATTTTGATTTGGATTCTATATGGGTGTTTATAATTTGGGTTTAACTCTCAAAGTGCTTGGGCTCTTCTTTTCTTTGGTCTGACATATGTTCATTCTTTCTCTTTTTAAAACACTGAATAGTTTAGTAAATCAACGACCCAACGTTCGGACACACTAACAAATTAAAATTATTAACAAATTATTTAACAAATTATACATTTGTTAAATCCGCTGATTTTTCATGATGCATAAATTAAAAAATCCCTTTAAAAAAAACAGGGCCTGGGCCATTCAGGGCGGTGAAGCTTAGAAGAGAAACACTGCTGCACAGTTCCCGTTTCTTCCAATCCCCCATGATTCGTGGCCGCTGGATGGCGCTGGTGCCTCGCGATGTTAATCAAAGCAACGTGTTAAACAGGCTGCTCGGTCCAACATTCAAAATCCAGCCTCTTGGGTGGAGGCCGAGGAAGGAGACAATCTCTTCCACGGCCAAGCTGCCGATCCTCGCCGTGAATGCGTTGCACGTGGAAGGCCGTATTGAGTCGGACTCTGCGGGGGGAGCAGAGGTCAACACTTTGAAGCAGCGCACACCGGAGAGGAAACAACGGGCAGGCAAAATAAACACAATGAAGGTGCACACATCAAACTGTTAAGCTGTCAAGGTTGACCTTATAGACGCATGTTAGCAATAACTGAAAGATATTAAATGACACACAAGATGTTTTTTTTCCTTTGGTTAAGAATGACTTAATTTCAGTTTTATCTTCGGTTTCTTCTTTCAAATAATTGTATTTCCTTTTGTCATAACGTCCTACCCTGAAATCAGACACAGGGATGTTGGCCAGCCTCAGTTTTCTTGAAACGATTCAGTTTTTTGGGCCTCACTTTGTACGGAACATCCACACGCTTCTGTTTTATTCATTCCGTTCTTTATTGATCATTTTTCCACTGCACATTAAACACGTTTGCAGTAGCTGCGCGACCAGGTTCCACGAAGTCTTTATGAATGACCTCTCTGCACAGTTCCCGCCCCGGGACGTGTCCTTTTCTCGCGTGTTATTGCCGTGCGGTTAAACAAACCCGTGGGTTGGGGTTGTTGTCGCCGCTTGGGGGCGTCGTGTCTGCGGTTTGATTACAGACGCGTTGTCGCCTTCCGTGCAATAAACTGGTGAGATACGCTCATCGGGGGGGCGCCAGGTGAGCAATAAGAGGCACCAATTGAGACAGCGTGTGTCACGTTCGCACCCATTCACCAGCGCCGCGCTCGCTACACATTAACCAGACGATATACAAATAAAGATATGCTGTTGATAAACTCTGCGGCACGAGGTGCAATAGAGAGGGCCATCAATGAGGGTGGAGGGGGGGGGTAGTCTTTCACTCCGGCCCGAAGCGTCGCGTCGATGCAGCCACTTCAGAAACGTCAGATTAATCCAGAGGCCTCCCGTGATGTGATGTCACACTACAGAACATTTAAACCATCGTAACTGATGCATGCCTGCCTGCATGCAGGCAGGCATGCAGGCATGCATGCAGGCATGCAATAGAGAGGCATGCAGGCAGGCAGGCAGGCAAGGAGGGTTTGGTTGGACTCAAATTTCTACGCGATGAATCACATTCATCAGAGGATTCAGCCGCACGGGCAAAATCGCCATTCGTTCTTGGGAATACGTTCTAATTAGGGTGTTAATTCTTAGTTCTTGTTTGTTATTACAACGCTACATGTTCTACAGGTAAAATGCCCTGCAAGGAGAGCATTAACACTAAATATCATTAACACTATAGAGCGCGGCTCCTTGTCCAGGTAGGGATCCTGCAGGTATGATCTCGGGCTTCGCTTCGCCCTGAGTATAATCTGATCTGGACTTTTTATCAGACTTTTTTTTTGTGTGAAGTGCCTCCCATAACCGAGAAGAAACATTCGTCTCGTCCGACGTCAGCCTCCATCAGCTGACTATATATTTGCTAAGACCATTTCTTTAATTCTCATCTAAAGCGAGGGAGACACACTAAGAAAGGGCATTTCAATATTTTATTGAAACTTTCAAGAACACGATGTCGATGTTGTCAACCAGACATAACTCTAATACAACATAACCCATTGAGAAACACAAATAAAGACCTTCATATTTTCGATTATGCGGCACTTGTACGATCAGGTTCGCAAAGTATTTTTTAATGACAGGAAAAAGAAATAGTCCACTTTTATCACACTTCAACGACGCTTCTTTTGCTCTTCTCAAGAAAAGAAAAAGGTGTGTTTTTTCTCAAGCCATTGGTGCAGTGCGTTGTCGCGTTTCCATCCGTTTTTAAACAGTAGCACTTCACACACATGGGACAACAAATGAAAATACAATGGCACATTAGTGTGAATAACTACCTCAATGGATATTTGGGGAGGAGTAAAGTCCATATTTTAAGATGGGTATAAATGAAGATGGCAACAAAGGGATAATAGCCCACAAATCTTTACACAGGTATATCGACAATAAATTAAGAACAGGGTCCTAGAAACAAACTACTCCGTTGTATTTACACGCAATAACAATATGAAATAATTACATAAATATTTTATATATCCCTATGTACACCTTTTTAATCAATACTACCTTTTATTGTTTTCATATTTAAATTTCTGCTTCCCTTTGCCTGTTGGACATTTGGGCTGAGTTCCGCATGCTTGGGCCATAGCTTATCCCGGAGCACCAGTCATGTCAAAGGCTAAGTTCTGATTTTAAAAAGGCATGAAGAAAAATAAATTGTGTTACAATTGATAACCTAATTAAGACAAAAAAATAAGCAAAGGGAGTGTGTTAATTATATCCATAACTGAATATTTTTCATACTTTTCTTTCCATTTTTAGTGTTAAAATAACATTCATTTGGGGATTTTGGGGGCATGCAACATTTGGCCAATCGATCAGTTAATAGTGTACAACAAAATACAGCAGTCTTTATAAGGTAGGTTAAACGGTAGTGAATTCAAATAAGTAATCAATTCAGAGTGCATATTAAAACACATTTCTCCTCGTGTAAAATAAAGTTAAGAGACGGGACCCAGCAGCAACTTCTCCCAAATCTGCAAGTCACACCCATGCCAACGTTTCAGTTTCAATACTTGTACGGTATTCAAATGACAGGATAAAAGTGTTGTTTAAATTAACAAACAAATAATAAGAAAAAATATACATATCAGATGCGTGTTAACCAAAGTGCATTTCAGAAACTAAAACGACCAACAGTTCGTGTTTGTTTGTTTTTTCTTTTCTTTTTAAAAACCTGCATGGATCTACGAGGGTGTCCTCCAACTGTGTCCGTCTCCATCACCGACAGCATTTTTTCTCTCCACTTTTCATGACAACAATGAGACGAGAAGCAGGTGGTGTGTTTAAAAAAAAAGAGGAAAATGGGTTCTCCTCCTCTTCCTCCTCCTTTAGGGGGACCCGCTGCGTGCCCTGTCCTGACTCGAGTCGAGCCCGCTGACCAGCCGCTGGATGCTCTGCAGCTCGTTCGCCGCGTCTTTCTCCGGGCAAGTCTTTGGCGACATGGCGACCGAGTGGCCGGTCACCTCCGACGTGGAATCCAAGGTGACCCCGGACGCCGGGCTGGCCGGCACGACGCCGTCTCCTCCCTTCGGCTCGGTCCCGCTGCCGCCCACGTTGGGCATCGCGGTGGTGAGCAAGGTGCTGTCCGGCACCGTCATGGGGAGGGAGTAAGGGCTGTACCTGAGTCGGGGACGCACTGCGTTCAGGAAAGGGTGCCGGTGCGCCGCGGAGGAGGCGGCGGCGGCGGCGGAGGAGGCTGCCGCCGCGGCGGCCATGTACGTGTACGGGTAAGGGAACAGGCTTCCGAACGGAGACATGGCGAGGCCCTGCGGAGGAAACGGAGAAGCGCAGTGTGAGCCACGAGGGTAGTTGGACACTTCTGCGCACCACAAGAGCGCACAATGTAGGCCGCATGAAGTCGGAACAAAGACAGGCCTGCACATAAAATAACACCAGAGGACATTTATGATGATTAACTTTTCCCCGCTCTGCATGTTCCGGATTAATGCGTGAAAATGTTGATTTTTTTCCCCCTTAAAGCGGCTGTTTGGGGCAGCTTTACTTGTTGCACCGCTTAAGACGCCGTCTTGACACTTATGAACTTATGTCCCAACGTGACGTAGTCTGGGTCTTTTTTCAATGCCTCCATTCACACAGGCTTTTCACAGATATAGTCATAACAAAATATGGCGAAGCAAAGCTTCAACTCGCAGCGTGTAAACAGCTTTTGGTGCTCAAGAATTTGTAATACAAATACAAAGAAATCCTATTGTCTGTATAGCTGCAATCAAGCAACAGGGGGGCCACTAAAACACGTTGACATGAAATGGAAAAAGACAACTTTGTTGACTATTAAATTTAAATACTCAGCGTTATGGCCCTAAAAGCGACTAATGAGATCATGTAAAGAGGATTGACCTTCCAGTTATAACCTCCTTTTCTTAAAATGATGGTTGGTATCTATACCCAGAGGGAACAATAAGTGGGTTTCTCGTAGAGTATTTAACTATAGCAGTTGCCTAACTTTACTTGTTAGCCCATTCGGCAGGAAAACACGCGCACTCCCTCTCTCTCTCACTCACACACACACACACACACACACACTTATGATTTAAAAACACGCACATTGACATGACGAATAGGCCAATAAACACATGTAAATATCTGGCATATTGGCCGACAGTCTGCTGTACATTACAACACATGGTTCACTCAAGGCGCAGAGCAGGCCGGGGCCCAAGAAAACAGGTTTTACCTGTGATGCCAAGACATGTTGCTGCAGATGAAACGGCAGGCCCGGCGCTCCCGTAAAGCTTTGCGAAGGCGATGCCATGCTCGTGGTGTCCATGGTGCTCACCCCTCCCGTGGACACGGCTGCCAACAGTGGCCCCATGCCCGCGGCCATGTTTGAGAACGCACCTCCCATGTTGAACTGACTCGGGTGCAAGAGGAACGGATGCGCACTCCCAATGTGATTGAAAAACTGTTGTCCCGTGAGGCCCGATGGAAATCCAAAATTAGGCATGTGTCCGTGGCCTATGTGCGGGCTGTCAGTCTGAACTGTCAAAGGCATGAAACTGTCTTTGCTTATCGACCTGCACTCGTCCGTTTTGGGATGCTCCAGGCCGGGGCTCTTGAGGTCTTCTCCGGAGCGAGTGGTGCTGGAGATGACGGTGACGGGGCTCTGTCGTGAGTCGGCCTGGCTTTTCTCAGTCCTCGGACCACCTTCGCGGGTCCTGCTGCTGGAGTCAGTGCTGCCGAGGGGGTGGCCCTTGGCGGGGCTCGCCTCGTGATCCTTCCCGTCCTTGGTGGTCGTGGAAATCTTGCTCGAGTCCGGACCGTCTTTGATGTGACCGTCTTTGCTCTCATCGTCGCTCTCCTCGTCGCTGTCGCAGAAATCTGCACCAAAATGAGGAGCACAATGTATGAGAATCTTTTCCGCCCATTGGCTTCGATAACAGGGGGAATAAGTCATAAATTTGAAAGATGTTGGTGCAATGTAGCTCCCATTGCTGCTGCATTGCATTCGTTTTTTGTTTTTTTTAATTGAGTTAATTCTTTATTTTCTTTGTAGATTAACCACAAATTAACCGTTCCCCACAAGTGACATTCTTTATGTTTTAACAATCCTCACAAACGAGCCAGTGCAGACTGTCTTTCTTGGCCCGGCCATTCCTAAGGTTGACTCCTCTTCAACACATTGTCTAGAATTAGAAATTACCAACGAATTTACAGACGACTCGTGGCCCGGCGCCGCGACTGGCTCGTGGGGTCCGTCAACTCACCTTTCATGTGTGGGGGCCCCGCGGTAGACACGGCAGGGGACGAGGCCTGGCCGAAGCACTTAAAGGAGGCCTGCTCCCCGGAGGAGTCGTCTGAAGCCCCGGTCTCCTTTTTCTGATGCTCCTCATACGAGCGCATGGATTGAAGAGCCAGCTGTTTCCTGCGCACAAGCACCCGGGTTACTATGGCACATCTCTGGGGTCAGAGACAAACATCAGCATGCCCGGTGAGTGGGCTGGACGCTTGTCGGAACGAAGCACCTCGCCATGTGGAAGCTCCTGATTGTGAGGCTAACTTGAGCCACTCGCGAAAGGTGTACGAGATCCGTTATATAGTCATTTAAGAAATGTATCCATCGATCGTGTCGCGTCACTGCACAAACTGATTTGGAAACGTACCACGTGTTGGGGGTAGGCTACATTTATAATTGCAAAATAATTATTAGTAAGTGCAGTGAAAGTAGCTAAAGGCCACATCAAGCATCACCCTGCTCCAGTTTCTTTTATAACCAGTGCTGTAGGAATCATGGTGCTCTACAGCCTATTAAGCTATTTGATTAGAAACTGTGAAGAGCCACACTCCCTGCGGGTTAATGAGGAAGCTTTGACGCGAGCTTAATCCACCGAGATTCCTGCCTGTCTCCATGTATAAATCTAAAGACTTCTGAAGTGCTTTTTTTCTCCTTCTTTTTCCCAATGCACTTTTCTTACCTCTTTTCCCGTCTTCCATTGCCCGTGTCACGGAACCCTTTGGCAAAGGGATTATGGTCAATTTTCAGCTGGGTTATCTGAAATAATAAATGATGCGTAAATATCAACAACATGAATTGTATTTCCACGTGGCGTTCACAATTAATGTATCTTATTTTTCAGAGAGCAAAACCTAGTTCTAGTATCGACAAAATGGTAATATTTTCAACAGTTCAAAAAACACAAATGCAAGCAAAAATAAAATCACATTGGCACGTTTTTCCAAGACCTTTTTTGTATTGTAAAACTTTACTACCACAGAACATCCGGCAGTGTTGCCACTGCTCATGGGAGGAGGGAAGGAGCCATGGTTTCCCCATATGATTTTTATTATGTTTAATGTCTCAAAGAGAATAAACTGTCATCATGCAGCAGTCTGACACAACCAAAATGTGTCCTTTTCTTTCTTTTTCTACAATCAACGGCACAGTGTTGCGCTTCTTCTTCTTGTCCCATTTCTCAACCCCTTTTAGTTTTACTCACACACGCACGCGCGGAGAGAGAGAGAGAGAGAGAGAGAGAGAGAGGGAGAGCGTCTGGGTCCATGCCCAAATCCCTTCCACGTGATTAAATAAAAAGGTAGAACTGTAAAATTCCTCAGACGTATTACCTTCCATTCCACAGGCGGAGGAATATGTCACTTACACCCACAAGACCCGCATACCCCTCCACGCGCACACACGCACACACACTACACGATGCTCCACTCTCACGGGCTCAAACACATATGACGTCTTTCATATTTTATGACAACAAAATGGTGCAGGGCATGAAAGACATGCGAGCGCGTGCGCCGCACAAGCGTTTGAGTAAACATTCGGGTGCAACCCCGAGCCCATGAGCAATGATTGCGCTTACCTTGTCATTTTGATAAGCAGTCACAGCAATGAAATCCGTTTCAGGAAAAACGTACGTCCTGAAGGTGCTGTACGGGAGTTTGAGAATATCGTTGGCCCTCACGATGTGAAATCGAGGCTGATATTTGTGCATCGAGTTAAGTATGGTCTGCAACACACAATCATAAAAGATAGCACCGTTGAAGTCACTCTGGCGTCAGTTAGCGGTGTGCGCACTTTATTCACATTGCGTCACATGCACCTTCTTAAAATGCGCTGATTTGAAACGAAGAAGCCATGTCATTTAAAGGGAATTCAATCGTGGGATTTAAAAACTGCAAATACAAAAAAAAAAAGAATATATAAATATATATAAATTATTAATTGTTTAATATTTAATCAGTTGAGTAAAAATGGTTGAATACGCAGAGGTGTACGGCATTCGTGGACGTAATTATATTTCGCAATAATCGCAATATTATTACAAAATACAATTTCAAGATAATGATGAACAAGATTGAGTTGTATTTTTGTAATAATGTGCTATGTTGGTCGTATCTTCCACAGAAGAACATCCCTTAATTAAACGAATGGCTTCGCTTCAAATAAAACACAATTTAAATTCAAACAATCAAAGTAGACATTGTACTGATAAAAGGGTAAGTTGGTAAATAGAAAAATCGACATACATTAGTTGAACTTACAAATCCATGCTTGTCGGAGATGTTATTTGTCAGCTTGAGTTTGTGAAAATTGACGACTTTTGACATCCACTGTTCACCGGTAGCCGGACTGTCCGGGTGAATGTACATCCTCTTTGGCATTTCGGGGTCGGCTTTCCCCGCCACCATCCAGCGGGAGTTATGAAATTTGTATCTACAGTCGTCGGCTGCAACAATATCCATCAAGAGAATATATTTGGCCTTTTTGTCCAGACCAGTGCACCTCACTTTGAACGGGGGGAACATCCGCCTGTGACGAAGCAAAACAACCGATGAGTACTTGTGGGGTTGCGAATAGAAATCTGCTTAAAACACATCTAAAAAGTATATATATGTATGTATATAGTTTTTTTTCCCATTGACCTAATATAGGATCTGCTCTTTAAAAATGGTTTGCATTAGTTTGATAAATTAGTCTCAGCCTGTTTTTCATTTAAGTTTCGGAGAAATCAGCCGAAAAAGTGCGCAGCGAGAAAGAAGTAAACGATATTCCCTGCGCACTTCGTTCCTGCTGTAGACCGCATGCCATCGCTGTTTGCGTGGTGTCTTGATTTTGAATGCCTCGAGAGGCCTACGAGACACACGGTCTACAGCAGCCATCTTTGTCCACTGTCACTCTGATTATGAAGATAACACTTTAATCACAGCGCCACATTTCGGTGGAATTAATGGGTTTTTACAAACCTGACTTTAAAATGAAACAGTGGAATTACGCCAGAGCCAAATGTTTGATTCGGGGAATCTGTATAGATTCGTGAAAGTGGGAGACACTGTAATTGGACGCTTATACTATCACTCATACAGCAGCCACAGGCCTCTTTTTAATTTAACAAAATATCTGGTACCGTGTCTGTAAACATGGCCTAATACCGCTCGTATTTACACACGTCAGCTTTGTCTACTTTATTTCCCAATATAAAATGCATATCTACCCACGGGGTTATTTTTAGGCATGTTATTATATTGTGGTGAAAACACATTATTGTGTAATAAATGTCATATTTACATAAGAACTGTGAGCCAGTCACTCTGCCATCCGAGTTTAAATTTATATCCCTCAGACTGAGGCTTCAGAGTTTTGCATGAGAGAGTTTTACTCCATGTGGGACACATGCCAATAAATCTATTAATGTATGGATGTAAAATAATAGTTATCAATAAACACAACAGGTGTCTGCAGGTCAGGAAAAATATGACATTTTTTGGGGATGAACTGCACACAAAAACAAATTCAGCTTCACCTTCCGGATTTGGTGATCACCATCTCGGTGCCTCTCTTGTGGAAGAGTTCCCAAAGCTCCTTGGCTTCCAGGTGAACTTTAGGATCGTCTTCCACCTCCTCCTCGGGCTCCAGAGTCTTCAGAGGCCTGAGGTGGGCGGCGGCAGCCTGGTGCCCCAGCGAGGAGAAGTGGAGCCCGCTCTCCGCGGCTCCCATCAGCTGGTCCATGATCGGCTTCCCCAGGGCGCCCGGCAGCGAGAGGGAGCCGCTGTGGGGGAGAGCCAGAGCCGGGAAGAAAGGAGGCTGGTGACCCAGCATCGCGCTCATGGCAAATTCCGGACCCCGGTGAGGTAAAAACGGATGATATGCCATACTCGATCCCTGTAGGACTGGATCTCTCATCAGGAAGTTCATCCAAGTGCAGGCAACAACTGGAGACGACTGGGGTTGATGTGAAACGAGATGTTCTTTTTTTTGTTGTTGTTGTTGTTGTTTACCAGCAGTTCAGTGAAGACAAAAAAAGATGAGAAAATGTGTCTGAAGTCGGAAAGCTTCGGAAACTCCTACTTCAGCTATGCAGGGAAAAAAAGGGGACCGCTTTTTTTCACGAATCGTCGGGGAATCTCTCGAGTCTCTTGGTGCGTTATGTTCAAAAGTCTGGAGAGAGAAATGTAAAAATGCTCTCCATAATTCTGGGAAAGTGCTGCGAGACCGATTTTCTTCAGAGGTCGACGCGCATCGGACACCTTTCCGCGTCTCGCCGACTCGCGGACATTAGTCGAATTAAACCAACTTGGGCGAGTCACTTAATTGACTGCAGCGCATTCTTTCTCCTCTGCCGCCGTTTACAATATCGGCGTTCCTGTTAAAATGCGTTCCTTCTTATTGGCTTCAGTCCTGCAGCGACGGGCGACGTGTTGAAATATTTCGATAGCGCCGAATAATCCCGCTGCCTTTACTTGCTCCGGACATGCACCCTCGCGCGCGCGCACACACTTTATTCCTCCTCTCTCTTTCACGCACACACGCATTTCAGAGAAGGACGTGTGCAGAGAAAGGAGTCCGCTGAGAGAGAGAGAGAGAGAGAGAGTGAGAGAGAGAGGTGGTAAGGTCCCAGCTCCGTGATTTTCCTAGCGCCTCTGTGGCCCATCGGGCTTCATATTGTGTGGATGTGTTGCGCGTTACGAGCAGCAGCGCTCCGTTTGATTGGCTCTTTGACGCGCTCGGACCAATGGCGTGGCGCCGTGGGCGTGGTTTCAACAGCTCCGGGTGGAAAGGGGACAGACTTCGGACTTATAAAAAGGTGTTTTGCGGGTTGGCGGGGGTGGGGGGGTAGAAAAGGTTTTTTTTTGCCGTGAAACACCGCCGTGCCCCGGTCGGTGTTGTGTGAATATGTCAACATCGTTACAGAAGTTGCGCTGTCGGTCGGTCGGCGGGCGCCGGCCGGAGCGGGCGACGGCGCACAAAAGAACCGGGCTCGCTTCTCTCGAGCGCGGCGTCATGTTTCGCTGCGCTGTTTGACCTTCCCTCCCTCCGCCCCGCTGCCCAGTGGCGCCCTTATGCTTTCGATATCGCGCCGGCGCGATTTCTTTTATGCTTTCATAAATATATTTGTGTTTATTATTTATTAGTATTTATCCGGCACCTTTAAACGTTTCTAGAGATTTAGCGGCGCCGAGAAAAACAAACAAAAAAACCCCCAACCCCGCACAGCGGCCAACATTTTCATGCAACATCCTCCTTTTAAATCAGCTCGGGAAAATACGAGCCGACGGGATGAGGCGCTGCATGATAATGTTTACCAGGATGCCGCTAAAATGGCTAAACGCGGTTGTGATATTTGTCGTGCTTATTTTTGCTTTGTTAAACTTCACATGGACGTGGGATCTATTGATTATTGCGATTAACAATTTAACTTTTTCTTCTCCAGCCTAAATCTGCATTTGAGTGCATGTGATTGAGGTCAGTTGTGAATCGGTGTATTTCAGAGACATTTACTTCTTTATGATACGAATAGCCAATGAAGCCTGTGGGCTGACTGTCAAAATGCGTCCAGCCGATCTTTACATTTTCACTTGAAGTATTGTTTTATAAGCATTTAGAAGAAAAGCCCATAATCACAAATATGTGCGCAAACAAGCCGCACAGCAGAATCAATGAGGATGTGTTCACTGATGCTGGTCTTTAATCCACTTCTTGTAACAAAACGTCAGGCTTTTGAGTCATACCAATCAATTCTGTTGTTAAATATAGCACGCTTTCCCGGCACAACTGTCTCTGGGAAACAATTCAATTTTTGTCCTTGTCTTGACACTTGCTCAAGCTGCAGAATGTGTCATCGATAACAGGATTCTCCTTTCTGTCTGCACAAATGCATTCCATTATGTGAGTTGTCATACTCTTGTTTTCTTACACCCATTATAACATTGACGCCAGTGGCATCATTTCCACGTTTAAACCCTAGATAATTGAATATTACCTGTCATGGCTCACTATTGGGACTAAAATGCAAGAGAGCTGCGCTAGACAAGTGCTCCCCAAAATGCTATTTAACCTCAAATTCACAAGTAAACTAGAAAGTGGTGGTCAGTCAGCCACCTTGGATAAACATTGACCATCAATTCTCAGTCAATTGTCTGTCTCTATGGATCCAGGCGGGGACCAAAGCGGTGGGGGATCTCAAAGTCCTTGACGGGTGACCATGCAGAGCGAATTCTCACACAAGGAACCAGGGGCCTCACCCCGTGCTGTGGTCTGTGTTGTTGCATCTGCAATGTGGGGAAAATTCTACCTATTCCTCTAATATTTTAAACATTAGAACGTTTTATGTGGGCTACTTATTGCCCCCTGGTTTAGTATTGTTGTGGGGTTCGGAGCTTGTTGTGGTGAGTGATTGTTTCGTATTGGAAGCCCCTCACGGCACCAACGTCATCTCAATTCGCCACTTCTCAGCCACGCAAGTATCGGTGAGGTGCTTGTTTTGGTTCTTGCATCTTGACGTTTACCTGTCACAGTGCTCTCTAATAGATTTAGCTAAAATGTTTGTGTATTGAACACTTAATATCTATGTGTGTGTGTGTGTGTGTGTGTGTGTGTGTGTGTGTGTGTATATGCATATCTCTTGTGCATTGGAGTGGTCTGCATGCATATTGCCCAGGGGCGATACACATGGATATGCGGCTTGTGTGTTGCCTGTTATTGATCTGCTAGGGGAAACAAATACGATAGCTGTTGATAAGTCACAGCAGCATCCGACTGAACGGACATAACGTAACAGTCCATAAGTGTTACCACTGCTTTTTGCCAGTAGGGCCTTCTAACATTCTCTTTGTGTCCTCCAGGTCAGGCCTGTGTCAATTGCTGTGGCTTATTCTTCTTTAAACACTCACCGCCATTAGCAGCACATTTCAATTTAGTGGAAGGTGTCATCAAATAGGAAGCAGTGTTGACACGGCGGCGGCCTCTCAGTGTCTGTGGCCAAGCTGCCTTCATTAGCTAAGCAAGTAGAGAGAGGTCAATACACTGTATAAACTTTTACAGGGTTAGGGCTCTCAGGGACTCCAAGAGGCTGTAAAAAGGTCTGCGCTGACGCTACTGATTGACGAAGCCAACTTTGTCAGCGCTTCCCCTTTTTCCAACATCTACGGAGATCGTCCACATCAAAATCATGGAAAGGCGCGGACGGGTTCGATAGTCTCTCGACCCGTGTGTGTCGTTGATTCCTAGCAGTGCGGGAGTTTCAGTAAAAGCATCGCGTCCGCACAATTAGTTTTCCTCAAAGAATGCGCTTCTAGACGCCAGCCTTTAAGTGGAAAAGCAGTTCACGTGATTCTGCACTGCAACTCACTTCAACTGCCCAGTGGTTTTATTGAATATCCCTATTTAACCCCTGCTTTGCTAACCTCCCAATATTATGAAGAAACACCGCAATAAGTTCATGGGTTATGAAGCTTCACTGCCCCGACTACACACAACAGCTCATACTGTGTTGGTTCATTAAGCAAAGCTTCAAAGGCATTCTTGGAATTGATCATGGAGCTGCAAGTGATGTAATGTATGCTGTCCTGTTTATTTGCAGATTGTTAATGATAAGCAAGGACAGACTTGGTGGCACCGCTCCTGAATGGAGGAGATTGTCTGGTGAGAGTCGTCAGCCCTAACACAACATGATAGGGAAAGGACACATCATAAGATTAGTATATTCAACTACTATAATGACTCCAAACTTCATTATAGACATCCTGACACAAAGTGGAAGAGGGGGGGGGGGGGGGGATGTTCCATTTACAGCGTAATGACTTTCTAAATGAAAACTATTTCACATTTAACATTTATGCGGGGCTAAAATTAATCCATCGAGGCAATATGGCCGAAAAATGGCAATTGTAAAATGAACTTTGTAGAATAACACACATGTTAGTCAACTGGGTAGAAGAGTAATAACCCCTTAACTTGTTGGTGAATGGTCCCAGTCAAGCATTTTTAGTCAAGCCGACTATGGTATGATGGCAGCATATTGACTGCAGATTGACAAGGAACAGGGTTAATATCTTGATGGTTAAAAACTTCAGATCTTAATCTGTTTTAACAACTGAAAGAAGTGACACAAATTTGTTCACATATCGATTGACACCAGGAAATTCTACTTTTCTAATGAATTTCTTCTGAATTCTGACTATTGACAATTTAAAAAGCTCATTTGAAAGAGCAAAACTGTGCATTTATGTGTTTTTTTACAGCCTGATCTCCAAAACCTGTTTGTAAAAATGTATACGAAAATCTTGAACATACAAATTAGTAGTGATACATACGAAATAACTACGGACTGCAACTGATGACGTCACCCTATTCAAAGTGAATGGGGACCTGGACCTCGTAAACACACTTTGTGGAGTCTAATGATGTAAAATAAACGTGTTTAGTTATGATTGCATTTCTAACGAGAAATCAATGTTAACTTGTAAAAATAGAATACTAACCCTAACCCCCTCAAAAAATCCAACATGGCGGAGAGACGTTCACTCAAGAATCCGACATGTTCCGCCATGTTGTTCACTCAAGGGGCGTGGTTAACCACCGCCAGTTCCTATGTATTGTAACGAATTTGTATGTTCAAGATTTTCGTATGCATTTTTACGAACAGGTTTTGGAGATCACGTTGGTTTTTTAAAATTGTAATTCGGTCATAAGTCATGAGACTGTGTTTTGTTGATAATGAAGTTTGCGTCCCATTTTCTAACAAGTCCACCATACGCTTCCTTAATGTTTCATATTAACATTAAAAAAGTCATTACCACCGGTAGCTGTGGAATACAGTAAAGAATGAGCAGCTGCAACCATTTTAACCATTACTCCAACCAGTGCAGTGACATCCACCACCTGTAGATCATAATGCAGGAGATTTGTCTGCTCAACCCTGTAAACAGACGTCAGGCTTTCTCTGCGAGCTGTGTGATCACAATGCTCTCGGAAAACGCCTCAGATGTGGACCATGTGTCAAAAAGTCTTAGCTTGCCTTGCGTGCCACCACTTACCGACATGGGAGATAAGCATCGTTCACGTTATGTTCTGAGAAGCCGTACCAAAACCACTTCTGCATGCTGAAAAGCAAACTGTGGCAAATGGGCAACAGCAACAAACGCAGGTTATTTGTCATCAAGTTAGCACTTATTGTATGTCCTTGTATGCTCAAGAGAGGCAACAGTTAGGGACAACTTTGAATCCGGGGTTTGTAGCGTGCAGTGGGAGTTGCCCCAATGTGGATATCTGCTGTCCATTATAGCCTCCCCACCATCGGCTTTGTGCCGCTCTAACTTTACAGTCGCCGCAAAGTTGTATGGTTTTAGCAGAAAGTCCAACCTCAGGAAACGGTGCTTTTAAGAAGAGAGTGGTATAAAGCAGAGCATTCCTCTGCCCAGGGAATCTGGGGCTATGAGGGGTTGGGGTGGCTTCTCTCTAGAGGTTAAGTGGGATAAGTGTGTGGCGCATGTCAACCCCACAACCCCCCCAATAGTTTCTGGAAAATTTGCAATGGGGTCAGATTGGATTACTGTGTTTTGGTATTTACTTGGAGACATGGGGCTTTGAAATGGAAAACCCTAGGCGGAAAAGCAAGTGCCACGCAGTCTGAGAG